ACATACAGACGTACGGACATCATCGTAAAAATAGTCAGGGAAGCTTCCTGTGACCTTCAAACGTCGAGATCTGATGAAAACTCGATTTTTGTAAAACGGGGTGAAAACAATAACTTCCCGATTTTTGAAAATCTGAGATTTTTAGCGGGAAGTTAAAAATATGACGAAAACTATATCATGATAATAATGAAAAAAAAAAAAAAGGTTTTCCAGTAGCACTAATACATATCATATTTAAACAAAAAAAATTTAGATCTGAGTACAATTAACAAGGAATTTATTAAATTTTTTTAATAATTATAAAAACAACAAGGCTAACAATAGGCAATTCATAAAAAAAAATTAAATTCAAATTCAACAACTAAGTAATATTAATTTTTCTTATCTTCAAATGCTTTGATGAAATATTTATAATACGATTTGGACTTTTTAGCCATCTCCATAACAGTCATAACATCAAAAAATTCTATATTTTCAACTAAAAACTTCATAGTTCTTTCATGAAATTCCGGCACATTGCATCCAATCGTAGTATTCAAAACATACAAAACATTGTTAACTCTGACACAACGAGATAATTTATCAATGCAATATTTTTTCAACACTTCTATCTGATATTTATCAGCAGCAACAAGAACTTTGGCAACCCGATGGCTTTCAATTTTATGCGTCAATTTCCCAGTGTACATGTATCTCAAAATATCAGTCATTATATAAAACTCGACATCGTGAATACTAATCTCTTGTACACATGGGTTAATAGTCTTAGTGTTATCCATTTTTATCATTGCACACATAATGGGACTAAATTCGGACAATATAACTTTGTGTGCATAAATAAACTTTTTTTCCACCCGAATAATAACATCACTTCTGATAGATGAAAACAAGTATCGTGGCGTCAGCCATACTAAACTATCTAACGATAACATGTGACGTTTAGCGACTTCTGACTCAACAAAACCGTACCACGTAATGTCACACTTAATATCCGATTTATAATTATTAGAGTTGGATTCACAAAAACAGAAAACACGTGTATAATCCATCCAACATGAGGTTTCATACGTAAATGATAGCTCATTAATTGATATCGTGATGTCTGCTTTAGCATATTTAAATTGGCTTATTTGTTGAACTTGAATATGTAAAACAGAACGATTGTCCACGTATTTAGCACGATGTGCTTTTATACGGAATTTAACATCATGAAATTTATCTATTGTAAATAAATCCGAGTAAACAATTCCATTTTGTTTATAAGGAACACAGTACCATGTATAAGACGTACTTATGCTGGATTGACGTTCGAAATTCATTTTAAAAAAAAATTTTTTTTTTTTTTACTTTTTTATTTTATTTATTTATTGTCTTTGATGTCACTTTTGTGGTTAGATGACGGATACTAACTTTATCATTTTTTTATTTTACACAAACGTAGAATAACGAGTCTAAATAATGTCATCAGATAGTAACGTTTAGGTGGCAACAAATACTTTTAAAACTAATTATCGATGAGCATGTATATTTATGTATATATACATACACACATGTTTAGATTTATTTGAATGCAGCTATTTTATTTTTTTTTTTTTAACGTTAACTGAAGACCTTGCTGCTTATCATTGCCTTATGACATCAGTTTATAGTTTTTTTTTTTCAATGCAGTTATTTATATAAAACTTTAAATTGTTTTTTTTCAAAAATACTTCATCATTTTTATAGAATTTCAAATATTATGTTTCAACTTAAAAGAGCCAGAGTTATTTTTTGTTCTTTGGTTTCGTTACAAATGATAGGAGATAATAACTCATCAATTAGTGTGCTCTTATCGAAAGTTAATACAATGAGCGAGCCGTTGATAAACACAACGTACATACTTTAAAGTTTAAAAGAATAGAATTTTATACTCAGTACTTTGTAATTAACACTACAGTTTTTTAACAGAAATATTTTTTTTTCGTTTTGGTTTATAGTGATTTTTTGATTCTTGGTTCATTTTATACACTTATACCAGGCATGTTGAACAAGCTTTTTTCGTAGTTAGATTAACGATAGATTTTAAGTATATTATTATTGTAAAAATAAATTGGATTTTATTAATTTTTGTTTAATAAATTCGTTTAAATTCATTAACACTGGTCACCCAAATCCCGAATTAATAAAATCCACACAATTTGTCATATGCATAATTTTTAAGTTTTTTACCGTCATCACTCGACACTACACAGATATAAAAGAACAGCTGTCACTTGATCAATCTTGCAGAGTTGCCAAATTTAATGAAATTGTCATGATCAATTGCGAAATTATGTTCAAAAAAAGTGTTGATAGACTTTAAATAAAATATTTTAAGTTTGGAGCATTTAATAACGTCTAATATATTTCTAATTAAGAGCGAAATTGGAATAATTTTTAACTAATAGTGTCGTATAGGATTTTAGATGAAAATTATATAAATAAAGTAAGAAAATTAATAAATATTCACGTGGTGATCCAAGCAATAAGGTTCTCGAGGATAATAAGGCTTAGTTAAGAAATATTTGTAAAAAGAAAAAAAAACTGTCCCTAAATTTCGATGTTAATGATTGTTTAAAGACATTTTCAATAAAAAATAAACTAAAATAGTAATTTTTACCATAAACAGAAAAAACATTCTGTGCATGGTCGGGTAAGAGGGTCTATGAGCTTAATATACTTATTTTGAGGTAGTAGAATTGTATCCGAAGTACAAATAATCCGTAACTCTCATTCTTTTCTGCTTCACAATATTATACTATTTGTAAAAATGTAGAACGCTTCACCTTTATGCATGTCATCTTTGTATGTAGAAGGAGGTCTGGTAATTAATGAGTGAATATGAAATACCACAGATACCACAAGTTTCAAATGTCGAATACGAAGTTAAAAAAACATTTTTGATTTATGTAGTTGATTTACATATGTAACGTTGTATTGGAGAAAAAGAGACAGATATAATTTTTTATCAATTAGCTGGTAATAGTATAATAATACTATCACATGCTCTGGATCTGCACTGAAAAAAATTGAATTAATTGAACTGTTGTTGAACCAAGAAGATAATTTTAAAGAGTTTCATTTCTTGAACCAAGCAAAATTTTCTTAAATCAAGAAAAATTTTTCAGTTTAAGAATTTTTCGTCTCCAATCAAGAAAATAACGTTCTTCAAAATTATTTACTTGATTCAAATTAATTGTTTTTTTTTCTGTGTGTATATTTACTTATGCAAAATATTCAATTTATTATTTCTTTTCATCACTTAAATTTATATTGAAATGTGAATGGTAATTTTCGTGAAATAAAAGAGAATTTGTAATTTCTCATAAAAATCAATGTTTAATGCAAACATTATTTTATATTAATATTTTTTTTTTTGGTTTTCTGCAACTCTTTCAAAATGTTGCTGGTTCATTATTTTATTATAAAGAACTTATATACCATGTTTCATTTAATTCTGAACGTAATTCTATATAAACAAGAATAATACCTCAAACAATTAAATTATGCTTATTATCACTTTAGTATTTAAGGTCAATCATGTAAATTTCAAAATAATATCGTGGTTATTGATTTCGAATACTAAAGGTGATTAAAAAGGGCCAGGCACTGAAAAAAAAATTTTTTTCCTCCTAGAAAACTTTTCCCTGTGATTAAAAAAAAAATTATTCCTAAAATAAGAATACCAAAGTTTACTATCCATAGGAATAAGTTTACTGGATATAAAAAAACTTGGTATTCTCATTATTAAAATACGATAGCAATCAATATGGCCGACTTAGCTCGACTTGGTCGACACAAATCTTTTAGGATAGATAATTATGATTTAAACATGTTTACAATTAGTAGCCTTCCGTATTTTCGATAATTTAAATACGCGGAAGTAATTTGATGACGTAATTATTTACTTCGATTGAATGTCTAATTATATGCTTCCATTTTATCGCAACATTTTGAGACAGTTGAGTGATTTCAGATAACACAATTCAGATGACTAAATAGGAATTTACGTTATATTTCATGCGTCGTGAGAATTCCCCTTTTCAGTGATCATATACAATAGAAAGTAGCCAGAAAAATGTTAAACTGAGAGCCTTGACCCGAGCTATATTTATTATGATTGCTATGACGTAATTTTTAATGCTACTATACAAGGTTAAAGTTTATTTCGGCATTTTCGATTAGAGAGGGAAGTATTGAATTTGTATTATATATCAGCGTCTGTTAGAACCACAGAGTTATTTCAATATTCTCTGTTGTGCTTACCACAACTTTAGAGGTTTTTCGATCGTTTCAACGATAATCAAATTTTAGAACTATGGCCCAAACATCTTCATCCATGGTAAGTTTATTATACTTTAATAACTTATATATATATATTCTTTTTAAAAACTAGAATTTTTTTCAAGTATTCTAGTCTTAAAGTACAAATAATGGGAGTTTTTGCAAGTTTGGTGCAAAAAAAATTATTTTTTACAATCCATTTTTTTACGATATTGTCATTTTTATATATAAAACAAAATTTAGCCCGGTTTGCCTCGATTGCAATTAAAAATTTTTTTTTGGTAAATGGTAAACTGAAAAAAAAAAAACATTTTTGCTTGTTTTTAGTTTAAAAATAATAAAATTTTTAACACAAATTTGATAAGTATAGTAAAGGATAATACGACAGAAGATTAATAGCTAATTTAGCGTTTAATTTTTTTATATTATTCAATTTATTATATATTTTGAAAATGTCAATATCTGGTAAAAGATGAAAGTGACAATTTTTTTCTTACTGAACTTGAAAAAAATATCCAAATCTTACTGACTTTAGTATACAATATACTTTTAATTAATTAATTTCAGTCATTAGTAAATTAATTCACAGGTAGTTGCACGGATCATCACATGGATTATGTTTACTTGGATTATTTTTGGATTAGTGACTTTTTCACATGGAGTCGAAAAGTTATCAAACTTAGAAAGTTGCGCACTTGGTTTTTGTCCCCAAAAGAAATACGCAAAAACAATTCACTACGCATTGATAGCAGATGTAAAAATTAATGAAAGTGCTATAATTTCGACCATAACTAACAAGACAGCTGATGATCTTGAAGCTATTTCTATTGTTTACAAATCTCTTTACGGTGAATCATTAATCAATCAATTAAGGGATTATTTAACTGGAAAATTTGAAGAGTTAGTGGTCGCATTAATATCCAAAGACTATGAGTTTTATGCAAAAGAAATACACCATTCTCTTCGTGGAAATAGTGATGATGAAAATGTATTAATTGATATTTTATTGACACAAGAAGATGAAAAACTGAGAGCATTGAAGCAGGCTTATGCAATTCGTAAGTAAGAATTTTTATTTATTTAATTAAATAGTAGATTTACAAGTATTATCATGGTCTAGACTCCAGAAAAATTATTTTTTTTTGAATATTTATTTAAAATTATTCATTTAATTTAAAAAATTTATTTACAGAGTATTTAACATCTTTAGAGGAAGAATTTGAAAAGCACACCACAGGAAATTTCAGAAAATTAATATTAAAACTTTTAGAATGCAAAAGAGATAAATATGAAGAAATCAATTATTCTCATGCAGAAAATGATGCATGCAAGCTTTATCATGCAGGTTGATTACATTTTTTGTTTATTTATTCACTTATTAATATTATTTAATATTTTTACAAATTCTGTAATTCTAATGTCATTTTACGCATAAAATATTTTTTTCTGATGAAAAAATCGATCTTTATGATTAATTATTCCGTTCAATTGTTGTTAGTGAATGCGCAGTATGAAGAAGCCAACTATGATGAATTTATTGGCGTAATGTCATGTTTAAATTGGCCTCAACTTCGACAAACTATTATGAAATATTATACTCTATTTGGAGAAAGTATCGAGTCAGTTATAAAGAATAACTACAGTGGTGATTTTGCACGGGCTCTTCTTGCAATTGGTGAGTATTAAAAAAAAAGAAACTAATTAATTCTATAAGTATTATTTAGTAGTTTTGTTTTTTCGTAGCAGAGCTTATGGTCTGTTGGAAAGTTGAAACACAGAATAATGTTGTTTTTTTATTAAAAAAAAAATTAAATATTGAATTAAGCTTGAACTAAGTTTAATTTAAAAAATTCCTAAGTTTCAGTTAAAATATTGTAAGTTATTCAAGATGAATCCGGTAAAATGAGAATATAAAAACTTAGTTACTACACATTGATAAACAAATTAACTCAATTCAAGTTAAAAAAAAAATCTTAATCTAACAAAAGCATTCTATAAAATTTCATTGTTGTGAAACAAACAAATAGTATATTACACATCTAGGGCAGGTAAGTAAGAAATGTTTCAGATCACATGTAATTGTTAACCGAGGCGAAGCCGAGATCAATAAACATCTGAGACATTTCTTACTTTACTGCCCTAGGCATGTAATATACTATTACACGGAGAGAAATTTACCGGAACTTTTCCAAAAATTACGGGAATGGTTCCTATAGTAAAATGATCATTATAGATATCAATCCTATGCTCATTATAGGAACCATACCCATAGTTTATTGGAAACATTCCTACACGGAAAAAAATTAACTGTTGCTGCAACAGGAGGCAGTCATGTTGCAGCAACAGGATTTTCCTGCAGCTGCAACATGACTGCCTCCTGTTGCAACAACAGGAAAAAATCCTGTTACAGCAACAGGATTTTCCTGTAGCTGCAACAGGAGGCAGCCATGTTGCAGCAACAGGATAAAGACCTGTTGCAGCAACAGGATTACTACTGTTGTTGCGACTTAATAATAAAATATAGTTGGGTCATTCCATGTCAAATTGACCTACAGTTGGAATTGACCCCTTTTGATATGGATAAATTTTGGTCAGAAATTTTCTTTTATCATATAACAAACTTCTGATTATTTCTGATTTTTATTGGAAATTTATATTTGTTTGAGTTATTTGACGTCAAAAACTGTTATTGAAGTGAAGAAACGGACAAAATATATCATGCGTTAAAAAAAAAATAAAAAATTATATCATGCGTTAAGCCTGACTTTAAGATTACTTAAAAAAAATAAAAAAAAGTTAAAATTATTTTATTATTTAATATTTCCACGTCGTACATTTAATTTTTTAATGCTCAAAATTACAATA